CCTACCCCACCCCCACCCCTCGATAACAACTAATAACAAAATGTAAACTTGGAAAAGGGAAAAAGAAAAAGAAAAAAAGAAAAGATCCTTCAAAACTGAATTAGGATATTAAATATTTGGACCAACGAGTTGGGATCCCACATTGCCAATTTAGCTTGCTTCAAGTGGACGATTAATTGAGCCCACGAATTTCGACATTTATTATTTTTTTATTTTTGTAATTACATTATTATTAAAACTAACTAATGATAGAGACAAATGTATATATGAATATTGTATTTAATTGTGCGAATATTAGTTAGAAAGTCAATAAGTATAAGTAATCCTTAAAAAGCACCTACAACGTATAAGTATTTTTGGACAGGCAATCCTCTCCAGGTATAAATGCTTAATGCTTAAAAGTGGCTTATTCCAAATTAAATACCTTGATGCCAAATAAGTGATTGGGTGGTGATTAATCTATTATTTATTATTAAAATAATTAATCTAAAAACGAATGGCGATTCCGGAGTAACCATACCTGAACGATTTTGCGTTTGAGAATACGTATGTCAATAATCATGGGGATCTAGAATGAAAGGAAGTGTAGTATCAGAACTACCTAAAGAGTAGGACTTTTGTTTAATTAAAAAATATAAAATTGGGTTTTTTCCTATTATTGTGATGTTTGAGGGGCTATATCTAAAACCGTCTTATTTATTAGGGGAATTAATAATATTAGCACATCACATAATGTAAGAATTAAGATTCATTCATGGTCTATGAAAAAATTACAAATAAATATGCTTACTGTAGTAAATCACCAATAAAATAATATCTTTGGGACCATTAACAAAAGTCATTTGGAAGATATTATCAAATTTATCAGCAAATATATAATACTATGCTTTATCCAAAATGACATTACTATTTTATTAACGAATTAAATGTTTTATTTATTTATTATATATGTACTTTAAAAAATATCAAAATTCACACAATTAACATAAATATTGAATATTATTTATTAATGTGAGACTAAATCGATATATATGAATTTGTGGTGGTTCAATTATTTGTCACAAAATATTTTTTATTTTTCTTCTCCCAACATGTAAAATTATAATGTGCAAGGCCCAATTTTTTGCTGACAGTTGTTAAGGTGTTAGTGGGCCCCTCTCTTAAGTCCCAAGCATCTCACTCTCTCCATTCAAATACATTGGCCCACTTGGCCTCATAAATGATAGCAATCCGTGCCTCAATAATTTTACAAATTATTATTATTATTATTATTAGTAAAAATTGCACATCACCCCTTATAAATTTTTCATTTCTCCCCACTAAAAATTCAAAAAAACGATATGCCCCTTCGAAATATTATTTCGGTTGCATTTCTCCCTAGAAGCCAATTTTTTAGAGCATTGTGCAACAAAAATAACATTTTAAAGGAGCAATATGTACAAAAAAATTAATGTTTTTAAGGAGCAACGTGCAACAAAAATAACAAAATGGGCAACATACAACAAAAATACTGAATGCCGACGAAAAAGCCATCGAAGTTTCTATCGGGTGAATATGCAACATAATAACATTTTGAAGGGGGACATTCACTTTTAAAAATTTTGAGGGGGTAAAGTGCGAAAATTAGAAATATATAGGAGGTGATGTGCAATTTTCCCTTATTATTATTATTATTATTATTATTATTATTATTATTATTATTATTATTATTATTATTATTATTATTATTATTATTATTATAAAATACTCTTCTAAAAAATAAAAAAATGGATAAAATACTATACGAGATGATGCAACCCCACCCCCAATTCACACATAACCCTTCCCTTGTTGAAACTCTATAAATAACTGCGCGAGGGTTCTGTTCATAGGCTTGAAGAAGAAGCTCCAAACCCTCTCTCTCTCTCTCCTCTTTCTCTCTCCTCCCTTCTTCTTCGCAATTAGTATCCAATTTATACCTTAAATCTGATCTTCTGGACCCAATAATCAGTAGTCAAATCTCACAAACAGAAGAATCCATGGTGGGGCCTTCTCTCAACTCCCAAAACCTCACTACTCTCAAACCAATTAAGTTTCTCTGCAGCTACGGCGGCCGTATTCTCCCCCGTTACCCCGACGGCAAGCTCCGTTATCACGGCGGCGATACACGTGTCCTCTCCGTCGACCGTTCCATTTCCTTTACTGGTATATGCCCCCTCTTTATTTTCCCCTAATTAATTACTAATTATCATTTTCATTTATTAATTTTTAATTTATTTTCAATAGAGCTGATGGCGAAATTGGTGGAGATGTGCGGAACCACCGTTTCCCTGAGATGCCAATTGCCGATGGAAGATCTAGATGCACTGATCTCGATCACCTCCGACGAGGATCTCGCCAATCTCGTCGAGGAGTACGACCGCGCTGCGGCGGCGGCGGCGGCTGCGCCGCCGTCTCCGCCGTCATCCCTCAAAATTAGGGCTTTCCTCTCCGCCCCCAAAAAATCGGCTTCTCCAACGTCATCCTCCGCCTCCTCCAGCAGCAACGACTCGTCGTCGCCGAAATCGCCGTTCTACACCTCCGCCGTCAACGGCGGCGTGCCGCCACCCAGATGTCCGACCTCGTCCAGCAGCCGGTGCGTCCGGCACGCGTCTTCGAGGCCTCCGATGTACCCTATTACTGGTGAGAAAGCCGCCGGAAAAATTCCCCAGAAATATGCTTATCAGTATCAATTTCACCAATATCACCACCATCACGGCCATGGAAACGGTGGCCATGTTTTTGTGGTCCACAATGGCAGTCACTGCCAATAGCAGGAAACCTTTTTCCTGTGAATCGGAGGACCAATTATATCTTCCAAATACGTATAATTATATATATAAATATATGGATAATCGGACTGAAAAT